TAAGAAGGAAATGAATCGGGACTAGAAAATGATGTTGGATTACGCAGAATGTCTGAATACCCAGATGTCGGATATCACAGAGTTAAATATTAAGCATGGCAATCAACTTTTACCTTTTGTTGCCACTTCTACAGCTAAAACGCTCAGATTTTGCTGAGCTGATTAGCATAGTTAAAGATAGCTTGCCAGGCAAGGTAACATACGCCCACTACCAGCTGTCAGAAATGATAACAAAATCTTTAGTGGCTTAATAATGAATTTTCAAATAATCTTAAAATCATCCATAAGTCAAGGCAAAAACCTGGAACAGTTCAGCAAGTTATCATGAAATTCAAACATGAACAATGTCTCATCGCTGTACACACAAGGGCAATAACTCGGAAACTGTTGATCTGATTATTACCAATTTCGAACTTGACAGAGATCTCATCAATACACACATGCATCTAGTTTAATCAAGATTGGATAAAAACTGTAGTCTCTATCATGCCTGCAAGCCGAATTTGACAAGTTTTTACTAAGTCAAGGGCAATAACTCTGAAACCCTTCATCCGATTGTTACCAATTACGAACTCAAGTGAGATCTCATCAATATATACATGCATACCTAGTTTCATTTAGGTTGGAAAAAACTGTTGTCTCTATCAAGCATACAAGGCAAATTTGAGGCGTTTTTAGTAAGTCAAGGGCAATAACTCTGAAACTGTTCAACCGATTATTATCAATTTTGAACTTGACCGAGATCTCATCAATATATACATGCATACCAAGTATCGTCAAGATCAGGTAAAAACTGTAGCCTCTATTGCGCCTACAAGAAATGTGAACGGACGGACAGGGGCGACGGCAATATACGTCCACATTTCCATGTTGGCATGTAAAAAAACTGGTCAGACTCATTATATTACATGGATCAGAATTAGGTCCAATACAGCAGAGTGACAAATGATCCATTGATGGTGAACCTGTGTATTCAAACCTAAAAGATAACATACTTGACCAAGACCTTATCAATATATACACGCATAGCAAGTTTCATTAAGATCAGATAAAATTGCAGCTTTTATCGGGCATATAAGCCAAATTTAACGCGTTTTTAATAAGTCAAGGGCAATAACTCTGAAAATATTCATCCTATTATTACTAATTTCGAACTTGACTGACTGAGATCTCATCAATATATACATGCATACCAAGTTTCATCAAGATCAGATAAAAACTGTAGCCTCTATCATGCATACAATAAATGTGAACGGACTATCAGACAGGGGCGACGGCAATATACATCCACATTTCCATGTGGGCGTATAAAAAGTACACAATGTACAGACAGACACCCCGGTGATGGTAAATGACATCACTGCCTCCTGTTATTGGTGAATTCAGGTCCTGTGGTGGCTCAACAGTCATCATGAAATCAATTCTTCTGAAATGTTTTAGTTAGGTTTTCTCTGTGCTTAAAATGCACAGAAATGGTATAACTATCGCAGAAATTAGTGCAAGTGGTTAAATGACGTGGGTCACCTTTGCTACTGGTAGTCACACTTATACACCACAAAGCCAGGTTTACCAGCAGTTAAATAAACGTTATATCTTTGTGACAATTGAATCTTTATAACACAGAATATGAATCCCCAGTTTTAAACCTTTTTTATGATTATATAACTGGACGCTACACTTCCTTTCACCTGCCATGCCGGTGATACGAACATCATGTACCTCATAGATATCATAGTAATATTTATAAACTACAGATGCTGAGCTCTTGAATTTGTCAACAACCTTAAATCAATCAATAGCTAATCCAACAAAAGGTATTACATCAATGAATCACTTATATGAAGGTGCTAGGAATCTACAAGAAAGCTAGAGATTTTGTGAAGAAGACACAAGAAAATCATGCTGGACTGGATGATCATACCTCAGATAATGATACATCTAGGAGAAATCAGGAACACTCTGCAAATGATATTGGGGTGAAAATTCAGAGATTTTTCCAAGCACCTAAATTCATGATTGTCATGCTCCAAATTGTTTTTTTTCCTACATATAAGAGTTTAGCTATGTGAATTTTGTAGTTTTTATAGGCCTATACATGACACAGTAGAAATTAAACAATCCTACAGGTTTTGAGACTCATAAAGAAAAGCAAGATCATATCACTGAAGTAAATTGCCATCTCGTCATCTTTTATACTTCCTTCTCCAATCTAACTAACTCAAAAGTAATCATATTTTACATCATTAAAATCAGAATTGATTAAGTTATTTAATGATAATTTGACATGAAGTTTACCTTCACATATTTCTGGAAAGGTGAGTTTTAAGGTGTACACAGTTTTTTTCTGTTTATACATCGATAAACTGAAAAAATGTTCAGGTCATTCCTTATAATTAAATCAACTTGAATACGTGCTAAATTATTTATGTAATATAACAACAACTTAAGGCACTAAATTGGCGCATAAATACATAACATTTTAACATAACGTTAATGAACTGATACTAACTATAGAGAAGTCCTATAGAACAGCCAATCAGCAATAAGTAGATCACCTATTTATAGTCTACTGTCTACTACATGAAAGTTGACGGAGCGGCCAAATTGGAAGTTCAATTACTGAAAGACAAGTTCTAAATAAGTCCAGAATTCATGATATTTTTGGAATTTGGAGTGTGCACATTTGAAGGAATTTAGAAAATACCGTTAGCCTATCATTCAGTGATGTGTAGACTTCGGCTCTGGTGACGTTTGAAGGAACGACATTGATGCCGTGAAGTGGCCACGTCAATCAAACTCAATGATAAAAGTAGTCCGTTAAGGGACGGAGCTTATATTTTCATTCTGCTTACACAGATATAAACCGAATGATGTGACAGCTGTTATCCAATCAAATTGCGTGAAACCGTGTAAACAGAATTGTAATTTAATTATATCAACATATACATACAAACTTTATTGTGTCTGTTGTGAACGGAACAACAGATAGCAGTAGCGGAGCCAGGTTTACGTCGGAAGGGAAGAAATATCTTCGATTGCCCGAATTTCTAATCTAGTTATGAGATTTTTGCCCAAAAAACTTGCTGGCTCCGCCTTAGGGTTGACAGCAATATCATCCACATTTCCATATTCACCTCTAAATACAGAGGTTGTCAATATATTAATTTCAGCTGTACTAACAATTCAGCATTCCAATGGTTTCCAATAATTACTGAGAATGGACTTAATGAAACACTTCAATCAAGGCTCTATATATTTTGTCAATAAGGGTTACTCATTAACATCATGCTGCTTTGACAAAAACATAGAATTTTCCAGATGTCATCTTATTGAACAGGTACCAAAAATGCAAAATTTTCAATGACTTACTCTGAGGTAGTGGTCCAAAGCTTGCCGCCTTTTTTCTAAAAATTCTTTACTTGTATTCTTCAATATTGTCTTTCCAGGAAGATGAGGCGCTTTTATATCTGGACACTGAAACAATATTAAATTAGAAAGTCACAGCCATGTACTATATATATTCAATATAGAAATATTTTCATGCATATTGTTATGTTAGTACAAGCGTGAGAAATAGTACCACCTTGACGTATAGCATATGCTGTATATTAGTAGTTTGTGGAACTGGTTAATCCAGTCTTGAATCATATCTATAAGTAAAACAATAGGGCTTGATAATTAAGTATTATCACCATTAACAAGCAATATCAAGTATTGAGTATAAGAATGTGAAGGAGAATCATTCTTAAGTTTTTTTTTTAATTTGTTCATTTGTGAAATTCAAACATTATTATGTTAACATAGTGCTACCAACTTTTATAAATTTTTAATGGTGTTAAAATATAATTTACAATGTCATCTCTCTTTGGCCCCTATATTAGTAAATAATTTCTGGAATTATGAAATTGAACTTTAAATTTAAAACTGAAAGTGACATGTCTACTGTTGGTGGAAATGGTGATCAGACTCCAACCTTTCCCCCCTTATATTAACACTACAAATTGTTGTTTAAGAATTACCTATTATTAATCAATACAATCTGTACAATGGATCCCAATCAACAGTAGTGCATATGAGTTGTGAATATTAAATTTATTACTGATTAGCTTAGGTAAAATATTCTCATTTCTGAGTCTAAGGTACAATAGTACAAACCTGTCCCTTTAATCTCAATGAAAAATGAATACTTATGAACAATGATCATAGTTGAAGAGATTTAGTGTGGGGAATGTGTTAATGATCAGAAATACCACTAAAATATTCTCTGATTGTTATATGTAATCATTTCTATTGTACTTTCAGAGTTTTTGATACCTTTCCTTGTTTTGATAAAGTTTATGAACATTATCATCCCCAAATATGAAATTATTGATACTTTTTAATGCTGATGTAATTATTATGTGTACTAGCCCTGTGCTTGCAACAACAAATTCATAATGGCATGGATTAATTAAAACTCTTAAATCTTGATCGATTGGAAAAACACAATAACACAATAAAAACTTTATTAAATTTTATTAAAATATCAATTTGGAATTTTAGGTCATAACATTGCGGTTAAGTAATGTTACAAAAGCACATGCACAGGCATGCAGACTTAACCTCTAGCGAGAGATAATATTGTCTATCTGTTTGGGGTCATTATCATTAGGACTAATTCCCATTTGAGCTAATATATTTCTCCCGAGACGCCTTGGCATCAGGTCAAATTCACCTCCGCAATGCACATCCGCATTTTTTTTAGCATAAAAAGAGGTGAAGCTTTTACTTGTGCTTAGTTGCCCCAGAAGAGTTCAATTAAGAACGAAACTGGTTGGGCTATACTATAAGAAAAATATTTTTGAGGAAATCATCTATAGTAGTATAGTGGTATTATTCTTCACAATAATAATGATTAATGAAAAACAGCAGTACATTAAACATCCTTTTTTTTTTTAAATATAACAACCAATACAACAATGTGAAACACACATATATATATACATTAATACACAGGCTTATCAAACATCAGGATTATCACTGTCACTATCATCATTATCTACATCAATACTGTTAATTTCTGGTCCCTCAATATTCTCATTTGAACAATGATACAAATCAGTACACTTTAATTTTGCCTTCAAACAAATTGTTTTAGAGTACATTGGTCTTTTCCATAAATGTTTTTGCGTGCCTCCAACATCCCTTCTGCTTCGCTCAGCATTTTTATGCTTATTAAAGGATATCTGTCACAAACAAAATCAATGCGATCTGAATTATTATGCAGGTCAATCGTATTCAGAATTAGATGCTATGTACTTATGTCATAATACGTCTAATTCATAATGCAAATGTTAAATTATATAAAACCACAGACACGATACCTAAAATAATACGTACAATGTCCTTTCACTTTCGACATTGTACATTGAACAAAGAATAATTGTCTTTGCGTCTTTTACATTGCACTAGTTACATTACATCTTCGTCTTAGTATCTTCTACATTGCATTAGAAAACGTGTTTTATCTCGACTGCACTATCTTTTTCTGACTTGTGGGCGGAGCCTATCAGCAATATTAAATCATAGAACAAGTTCTGCCACTGGACTTCTTTTTAGGAGAAGGTCCCATCTCACTTTCACTGCTTAAACTGCTGACAATGGATTTCTTTGCTAATCTTTTCTTGGCTGGTCGATGCGAGTTTTGTCGGTGAATCTTCGATAACAAAGTGGATGGAAGCCTAATTTTAGCCACTCAACACCACTTGATTTGAATTTGTTCCATCTAACATTTGTATATAGATTTTACGTTTTAAGTTTTACCGTCTTGAATGTTTACATTATGTTGATTGGCAGAAGCGTCTTCACCCTTGGGTGATAACAGACAATTCAGCAAGTTTCATCTAAATCTGTCAATAAAGGTGATTGTAAGTTAGTAGATTTAGGGTGTTTGCAAGTACATTGTAAGTAGATTTGCAAGTAAGTTTTCTATTCATGGTGTTCATTGCATGGTTATTCCAGAAGCAAAATATTCAAGAAACAGAAAGACACAGTACCGATACAAGTGCACACACTATTGAAACCTAAACCAACTAGTTGCACCTTTAGTCTATACTTACAGTTTCTGTTATTAACATATGTAAATCATGGAAGTCACTATATCTTCTATAAACATCAGTTACTGTCTCTTCTTCACTGTCTGGTACCTTACGTTTCACAGTTATAGCAAATATAGCATAACTTTTACCACTCTTATCAGGTTCCTTTACAATACCTGAAATACACATTGAACATAACAAAACTGATTGTTTATCTTTATAGAAGTAAGCCCTTCCTATTGTAATAGCTGACTGATGGATTGTGCGAATCTTTCTATTACCCCATAAATTATTTTTATCCTATACATTACTATTATCCTATAATTTACTATTACCCTATAATTTACTATTATCCTATACATTACTATTATCCTATAATTTACTATTATCCTATACATTACTATTATCCTATAATTTACCATTACCCTATACATTACTATTATCCTATAATTTACCATTGCCCTCTACATTACTATTATCCTATAATTTACCATTACCATATACATTACTATTATCTATATATATGTATATATATTACTATTACCCTTTGTATTACTATTACCCTATACATTACTATTGCCCTATACATTACTAATGCCCTATACATTACTATTACCCTATACATTACTATTACCTTCTACATTACTATTACCCTCTACATTACTATTACCTTCTGCATTACTATTACCCTATACATTACTATTACCCTATTTATTACTATTATCCTATAATTTATCATTACCCTATACATTACTATTATCCTATACATAACTATTACCCTCTACATTACTATTACCCTATACATTACTATTACCCTATTTATTACTATTATCCCATAATTTACCATTACACTATACATCACTATTATTCTATACATTACTATTATCCTATAATTTACTATTACCCTATACATTACTATTACCCTATACATTACTATTACCCTATACATTACTATTACCCTATACATTACTATTATCCTATAATTTACCATTACCCTATACATTACTATTATCCTATACATTACTATTATCCTATAATTTACCATTACCCTATACATTACTATTATCCTATAATTTACCATTACCATATACATTACTATTACCCTATACATAACTATTATTCTCTACATTACTATTGCCCTATTTATTATTTTAATGTTAAACATCGTTAATTCCATTTCTATTGTTATACATGTATTGTTATTGTTATTATTAAATGTTATCTCAAAATATCAACTTGTCATTCTTAGCTGGGTAAACCATACCTCTATTAAGCACCACCCCTTACTAAGCAGCCACTTATGAGCATTCCCTTGACTGGCTGCTTAATACAAGTTAGACTGTATATTACTATTACCCTATAATTTAATAGAAGAAATTGCTTGTACTTGTCAATTTTATTACACTTCAAGAATAATTTTAAAAATAGAAGAAAAAAAAAAAGAAATTGAATTAAAAATCTGTAAAGATTCAACAGTTAAGTTTCTAATTATTCTATTGTTGTATATGTATATATATTACTATTACCCTATACATTACTATTATCTATATATATGTATATATATTACTATTACCCTATGCATTACTATTACCCTATACATTACTATTGCCCTATACATTACTATTGCCCTATACATTACTATTACCTTCTACATTACTATTACCCTATACATTACTATTGCCCTATACATTACTATTGCCCTATACATTACTATTACCTTCTACATTACTATTACCCTATACATTACTATTACCCTATACATACCCATTACCCTCTACATTACTATTACCCTATACATTACTATTGCCCTATACATTACTATTGCCCTATACATTACTATTACCCTATACATTACTATTACCCTATTTATTACTATTATCCTATAATTTACCATTACCCTATACATTACTATTATCCTATACATTACTATTATCCTATAATTTACTATTACCCTATAATTTACTATTACCCTATACATTACTATTACCCTATACATTACTATTGCCCTATACATTACTATTGCGCTATACATTACTATTGCCGTATACATTACTATTACCCTATTTATTACTATTATCCTATAAGTTACCATTACCCTATACATTACTATTATCCTATACATTACTATTATCCTATAATTTACTATTACCCTATAATTTACTATTATCCTATACATTACTATTATCCTATACATTACTATTACCCTATACATTACTATTACCCTATACATTACTATTACCCTATTTATTACTATTATCCTATAATTTACCATTACCCTATACATTACTATTATCATATACATTACTATTATCCTATAATTTACCATTACCCTATACATTACTATTACCCTCTACATTACTATTACCCTATACATAACTATTATCCTCTACATTACTATTACCCTATTTATCATTATAACCCTATACATTACCATTACACTATACATCACTATTATTCTATACATTACTATAACCCTATACATTACTATTACCCTATACATTACCATTACCCTATACATTGTTATTGCCCTATACATTATTATTATCCTCTACATTACTATTACCCTATTTATTACTATTACCCTCTACATTACTATTGCCCTCTACATTACTATTATCCTATAATTTACCATTACCCTATACATTACTATTACCCTATACATAATTATTACCCTCTACATTACTATTACCCTCTACATTACTATTACCCTCTACATTACTATTATCCTATAATTTACCATTACCCTATACATTACTATTACCCTATACATAACTATTATCCTCGACATTACTATTACCCTATACATTACTATAATCCTATAATTTACCATTACCCTATATATTACTATTATCCTATACATTACTATTGCCCTATTTATTACTATTGCCCTATTTATTACTATTGCCCTATTTATTCCTATTGCCCTATTTATTACTATTACCCTGTACATTACTATTACCCTATACATTACTATTACCCTATACATTACTATTACCCTCTATATTACTATTACCCTGTACAGTCTAACTTGGTCTAACAGTATTCAGCACCAACCTTTAATAAACGGCCACCAAAAATACATCCCGTGCAATTTTCAACCAAATTTACCTCTATTGAACACCACCCTCTTGACGCGGTCAGCGGTCACCATTTTCTTAACACTAAACACGTGTCACCCTGCAATCAACGTCGATAATTCTTGTTAATCCCATAAATCAAAATCAAGATTAATTACTGCCAAACAGAATATCCTTTGTCTATAATCCACGAATACAACTCACGCATGGATTATTATTCTTTCAAGTTTTCGATTCCGTGGCAATTATTGTCATACGATTGAAGATTATATGAATATGCAGTGCGATCTGAGGATTAAGGGAAAAATTAGCAACAAGAAAATCAAAAGTGTAAAACAGACATGTCTGAAAGATTATTTTAATGTTAAACATCGTTAATTCCATTTCTATTGTTATACATGTATTGTTATTGTTATCATTAAATGTTATCTCAAAATATCAACTTGTCATTCTTAGCTGGGTAAACCATACCTCTATTAAGCACCACCTCTTACTAAGCAGCCACTTATGAGCATTCCCTTGAATGGCTGCTTAATACAAGTTAGACTGTATAATACTATTCTATAGAGACTACAGTTTTTATCTGATTTTGATAAAACTTGGTGTGATGCTTTAGATTGATAAGATCTCTCAAATTTGACATACTTTCGATGAACGGTTTTGAGATATTGCCCTTGACTTTGTTAAAATGCATTGAAATTTGTTAAAAATAGTTTGTGAGCAGGATTGAAGCTACAGTTTTCCACCGATTCTGATGAAACTTGATGTGATCATTGGAATTTATAAAATTTCGGACAAGTTCTAACTTGACGCATTTTCGATGAATGGTTTTTGGGATATATACATAATATATATATATATGATTGAATTCAAATAAAATAATAAAATTTCTTTAATATGAGAGAATTCATACTTTAGTCACTAAAGACTGTTTTATCATTTCTGACAGTTGCCAGTGGACATATGTTACCTTGCCTGGCAACCTATCTTTATCTCTAATATTGTTTTTTGTTTATGGAACCCTGGTAGTAGACAACTATAAACTGTTTTTATCTATAATATTGTAATTTGTGTATTTTCAGTTGATTGTTTCCTCCATTAAACATATCACCTTTAACTGTTCCTTATAAAGAGTTCATTTCTCTAGATATCGTTTCAATGTTGGTTAACTAAAGGGTGAGATGCATTAGCAAACATCTACATACATACAACAACAATCAACCACTAGAACTCATATTAAATTAGTAATGTACCAAAATAAAACATTGGGGTATCATATGATAATTTAGACAAAGAAGATGTTTTTGTCGAATGGTGAAGGTTTAAGCCAAAAGTTATGAGCCTTTATTTGGTGGCCCAAATTTTATACCAGAGGTTGTGCAAAGACAAATTTAAACTTGAAAGATAGCTTGCCAGGCAAAGTAACATACGCCCGCTGGCAGCTGTCACAAATATCAACTAAATCTTTATTGACAAAACATATATTAAAGATCTTCTTAATAATACCAAAATTCTCTTCATTATGCATTTGTCATCAATTTAGGGTCACTTATGCTGAATTTTGTCCACAAATATTTTTAAATCAATAGCAATAATCCAGAAGCGTTGAATTATCAACATCAAAGAGCTCTCATGTCTTTAATTTTTTAAGAGATTTTACAAGTCAATGTTAGAGGTCATAATCAAATTATCATAAAATTCAAAAACACAAAATTAGATAAACAACTGTAGTCTCTATGAAAAATCATCAGGTTATTACCAAATCTAATATATATACCTGAATACCTAGTTTCAACAAAATCAGATAAAAACAAGGCAAGGCAATAATGCAAAAAACGTTCATCCTAAACAAGGTCTTTTCAATATATACAGTATATTCTATGTAATTCGACATACACTGGGACTGCAAAACCCCGCAAACCGGTAGCTTTCTTATAATAAGACGATAATAAAAGTTAACTTTATAATTATTTAATTGTTCATATTTCGAGCTACCGTACATACGCTTTTTAATATTGTCAGCAAACTCTGTTTACGTTTTAAAATGCAGTTTATTGTTGTTCAATACTGTGAAGAGCGCGGCACTTTTTCATAATCTCCAATAATTTACTGTTTCATATCCAGAGACACATTAGTACAGGCTCGCATTGCAGAACGGAAAACACTAGCTTGAGAATATTGATAAAACGCGAAACAAAGAATGGTTGCCTATTTCTGTTCCATATGGTGTGATACGAGTACCGATACCATTTGATCTAAAGGCAATGACCTTGATCTTTAAGCGAGGTCATGGGCAGTGATTAATCAGCAACAAGATTATCAATAAAATAAGCGATTATCTAATTGACGATAATTGATTAAGATGAGTAGATGTCGGATTATACCAGGGCACAAGCTACGGGGCAATGTGGGCGAAAAAGTCGCTTTATGGTTCAAAAAATCACCTTATATTTTATTCATTGCGATTACAAGTCGCCTCAATTCAGAAATTTGGCTTCGAAAGGTGAAACAGAATGATTGTCTTCTATTTACTTTGGCTATTAATAGTTTAGTCGACGGTTATCAAGTCTCTAATAGTAAGCGAAGGCCATATACAAATTATTTCAATTGACACTTCATCATTACCCAATGGAATCCCTCTCAAGCATTTGATGCCAGTTTTAACTTTTAATTACAGAGGCTTTTATTGACTACCAACCACCCATTCATTGAATAAATATCATTTCATGGCCATATTATTTCTTTTTATCAATTCCCATTGGTCGAAATGAATTATGTTTCGTGTATTTTCAATGAAAATTGCTTATTTACCCGTATTTAGTTTTAAATTAAAGAATCAAACACTGACTAAAAGCTTACTGTGTTCTGGGTATGACAAGATGGCCACCAAAGATAATAAACAAAGGATCAAGAAAGCGTGTTGTTTGAAAAGGAATATTATAAAACAAATGCTTTTCGCACTTTGGTTGATAACTTTTGACACCATTGATAAAAGATTAATCTACTTTTGAGTGATTCTAATTGTAAATATGGCCTGGTCAAGTCATTGTTTGAGGAAACAACTTTCCTTGTGCGGACACTCATTTATAAAACATCTTCTTTTCGATCCAACTAGTATGCATTTTGATTTAGCAATATGTCATTACAAAGTTGGCTCTCACCCTCTCTTAAGACTAGTTCGAAACGTCCATTGGAAATATCGGTAAACGATACGAATCAGTCTAGCCCTAGTCAAAGTTCACCCAAGAAAAGGAAGTTTAGTAAAGAGCTTTCTCAAACGGCCTTTAACAGGTACGTTTTGGATACAGATAAATCCAAATGGTTTTGTAAAGTATGTAGGGAAGCTAAGAACGATACAGCATATGCCAGGGGACATGGAATACCAGCTAAAACTACAAACCATGCAAGACATGCTGCCTGTAGTTTTCTAAGTAGTCATTATTAATTTAACATTATTTCAACCAATTTAAAATTATATAAATTGGTCTATTTATAACTTTTGATTGTTGGATCTTTTGATTGACTTATTTTAAGGTGAAGATGGCAAAGTGTTATAATTTTATTTCTTAATGTCTTTCAGCTCAAGCCCATATATTTATATTTCTACTATCACTCCCTTCAATAAAGCAGTTAGCCAAACCGGCCTTTATGTTTCAATAACTAGTTTGTCACGTGACAATAAGGCGTATGAATACAACGAAAACGAAAACAAGGATTGACCCAAGTTTTCTACCTAGAGTTGGAAAGCGATTTACAATTTATTTAAATTTACAATTGTTGTTAATATTTCAATGGAATAATAAATATTTGATAATTTTATCATCCAAATAAGACTGTTGATTTATAGAACTATATTGTTAGGGGTGGTGAACTTGATTGACAGATATAGGTGATTTAAGCAACAAATTTTGGCGTATTTTATCAGAAAAGATTAACCAAGGCCATACCAAAATAATATTCTGTTCGTCGGGAATTCCGTACCCGATTTTCCGTTATCGAAATTTTATATTTAAAATTAAAAAATAATATTCCGTATGTATCAAAAGAGCTCCCATATTTTGAAAAAAGAATTTTTAACTTTAAAAAAATTATATTGCCCGTATGTCCGTACCTCTAAATTGATCAGATAAACATGATTGTTTAGCTCTCATTTTTAGTTTAAGCCTAAAATTTGGTAGTGGGAGTTACAAAATTGCGCCCTCTATTTCCGTTTGTCAGTTTGTGGACATCGTGCGACAATTATAGTAGAACATGTTCCAGCTGTTGAAAGAGTGAGTTCGTACAGTAGTTTAGGCCCGTCGCTGAAGCAAGAACGTTTTCTCGACGACCGAACGCATCGAAATTCCGGAAGTTGATAATTATCAGAAATAGGCATGGCCAATGCAGTGCTAGAATTAATATTTGTATTTGTCTTTTTTACCAAAATGATTTTAGTAATCAAAATAAGGTCACACCAGAAACTTATTTTGCCATACATGGCGTTTGATGTTGAGCCTGAAAGATGTTTATGATCTGGCATCTGCAGGAATTCAATCGTGCATATCACAGATCCCAGAAAAAGTGTACATCAAGGACAATATTGAAAAATCAGGCGGTGTCTTGGTTACACTTTCGTTGAAAATTTCTCTGTGTGATGAACTGAAATCCAAGTTTGTGGACTTTTTAATTAACTTGCCTTCTCATTCTTCGTCTGAAGAACCTGTTTGTAATACTTCCAAAAGTGATAAAAATGTGTTCGATTTTATGATGGCATCAAGAAAGACATTAATGTTTCCTGAAAAACCTACACCACCAGTCTTTGACAAAACCTTAACTGGACCTCAAAAACTATTTTGTGATGTGCTAGATTGGTGCAAAACAATTGATGATGGCTGGTCAAAAGACCAGTTAATCTGTGCAAAAGAAATTTTGTGGAAGATTACAAATTTTTTGTGGTACGTTGATACGCACCATGACAAATTTAAAACAGCTAGTTGTGCCATACCAAAATGTTTTGAAGCCTTTACACCATAAATAAATACTATTAATTGTTATTTTATCTGAATCCATGCTGGAAAATTTTAATGGCACGAAGGGTCTTTTTTTTTTTTTTAAATTAAAAAATATTATATCGCACCAACCAAATCAATGATTACTAACTTTGAGACATTTTTTTTTAAAATTAAAAAAAAAATTTTGTTCGCTCGTACCTTTTTTTTTTCAAGAAATCCCGAAGAACAGAAAATTATTTTGGTATGGCCCAATGTAAATATAAGGAATGAATGTGGATCTTGTTATCGTTATGGGGAAATAAACGCTGGGTCATTTGTCTTGTCACATAATAAACCAGCGTTTATTTGCCTAACAGTTAGAATTATTAGATATGTTTGGACACCAAAGAAACAAGTTTTCATCATATACAAGTCACCAAAGTGTCACAGAATTTCAAAGTGCTATTTCAAGTGTAAATTTGGCTGAGTGCATGGAGAAAGTGAAGGATTCTGTTTATTACTCATTAGTTGTTATTGAAAGTTGTTGTTATGTTTTAAATGAATAGTTTTTAGCATGTAATGAAATAAATGACAAAGTGATTTAAGTAAAGAGGTGTCTGTTATTTAAAACACATTAATTATGATACAATCAATTGTCATCACAGCATGACACATTTTCCAAATACTTTAACGCAGGTAGAAGTCTCCCCAAAATAAATGCAGTCTCCCTTAACTTTCATGAGGGAGAAGTGATGTCTCGCTAAATTGAGCCCTGGATTATACAGATTTTTCTCAGTGTCGGGACCACTGATTAGTGTCGTAATTCGGAATACACAGAATGTCAAAGTACTCAGAGTTTTTTTTTAAACTAGCCTAAGAAGGAAATGAATCGGGACTAGAAACTGATGTTGGATTACGCAGAATGTCTGAATACTCTGATGTCGGATATCACAGAGTACACTGTACATGCATACCAAGTTTCATCGAGATCCGATCCACAGTTTTACATGTTTACATGTAAAATCTGACACATTTTTACTTAGTCAAGGCCAATAACAAAAAAAAACATCCATCCAAAACAGGCCAAATTCAAACTTGAGAGAGATCTCGTCAATATTTTTTAATTAGAGCCCCCTCTTCAACAGCCTAAACTAAGATAGCTTGCCAGGCAAGGTAACATACGCCCACTGGCAGCTGTCAGAAATGATAAGACAGTCTTTAGTGACTAAAGTACGAATTTTCTTATTGAAGAAATTTTATTAGTTTGAATTAAATTATATATATATATATATATATAGTTAAATGAGATCAATAACGCAGATAAAGATAGTTAATTTTTACTGCCAACATGTTTCAATTTCATATTTTCAAGGCATAGCAACAATACAATAAACAACAATATGACGTCATGATATTGTCTTACAGAGTTTGATACCAGATGTAGTAACTTTTATGGTCTGCCTTAAATATATAAGTGCAGGAATATCCAAGAAGCATGTTCAAGTCAAAAGAGTGAGAATATAAAACTCTCTGCACCAATGGACTTGAAACTTCGGCCTATAATATTACTATAAAATCCATACCACCCAATGCTTAACTCATCACATTCGATACTTCATTATACTCAAACATACCTCATGTTTTGGGGTTTTCTGCTTGGAAACATACCCAGATGAAATACACGGTCGATTTACACCATCATTCATTCTGAAGGGATTGGAATTCATCTTTGATGGTATGTTCTTTAAACAACGGCAATGGGTACAAAAGTTGCTCCAGTATAGGCAAACCTTGTACTAGGTTACCTTGAGCATCAAATAGCATTGAAAATCGGAAATACTTTCTTCAGTACCCAAATGAAACAATATTTCGAGGAGTGGTGGAAAAGATTTCTCCACGACTGTTTTATTATTTGGACCCACTCAGAACCAGATTGGGGTGTATTCAAAATTATCATTAATACTATTCATCCTAGTATTGATTGGAACAAAGTAAAACACAAATATCATTCCTTGATATACTTGTGATTAAATCTGGCATTTTAATAGAAACTGATATATTCTACAAATTGACAGATACTAAACAATACCTTCAGTTTGATTCATGTCACCCAAAATATACCAAAATATCACTTCCATACAACCTGGCCAGACGCATTTGTACCATCGTTTCAAATTCATCCACACGAAACAAACGACTAGATGAGCTTTCCTCCTTTCTTCTGGACAGAAAATATCCACAAACCCTGATCACAGATGGGATTTTGAAGGCTGAGCAATTAACTCTACAAGAATTGCGCACAGTTAAACCAAAAGTGAAAGAGGACAACTTACTAGTCTTTGTTTCAACGTTTAACCCGAGAAACCCAGATTTATCAAATAATAACCCGAGAAACCCAGATTTATCAAATATATTTGTGAATAACTTTCCAATTCTTACAAAAAATCAAAGAATGGAGAGAATAACTGCCAAGTACTCAAATGTAATGGCAAACTCTGCGGGTTATGCAAATATCTGATTGAAGGGTCATCTTTTAAATTCTCAAACATATATATATATATATATCATGGGTGAAACCTTGTATATGCCATATTTGGTCATTTAGACTTTTTGGTACCGTTCGAAAGCTGGTAAAAGCGCATGATCTTGTGATCAAAACCTTGAATTTCTTAGTTTGATTTTAAATAACTCAAAAAGCACTAATTAAATAACACGTATTTAAACAGTCAGATTTAAAACCTCGTAAAATATATTATTATACGAGGTTCAATGTTCCTTTTCTGTAGATGAATATGAAAAACCTTGTATACTGTATTATTATACAAGTTTTTGGTTCAATAGGCAATAGGCCGTAGATTTCAAATTGTTATACGAGGTTTATATTTTCAAAGAATGAAAACCACGTATAGCGGTAAAAAAAATACTAAAAATAAATAATAATTTCAACAAAATAAGCGTAAAAATAGTTTTTTGTGTTTTTCTCGAAAAGTAATTCCGCGTCATTTATCGTTATACGAGGTTTCAAGCGGTCACCCACTATATGCCAGTTATTTATGCTGAGTAATTCCACAAAAATTTTAAAAATCATTTTCAATAACCCAAATACAACAAACAATTAAATCACACAGCTCTAATCAAGGGAAATAAAATTCTTTTAAGCGTTTTTTCCTAAGTCAAGGGAAATAACTCAAAAACCGTTCATCGAAAAATCATCAAGTTCAAACTTGTGCACGATCTCATCAATATAAATGATCACACTAAATCTCATTAAAATCAGTTCAAAACTGTAGTCTCTATGGTGTTCACAAACAAATTTTGACGCATTTTTCCTAAGTCAAGGGCAATAACTCAAAAATCGTTCATCGAAAAAGCGCAAAGTTAGAACTTGTCCGAGATCTTATCAATTCCAATGATCACACCAAGTTTAATCAGAATCGGTTGAAAACTGTAGCTTCAATCCTGCTCATGAACTATTTTTAACAAATTTCAAGGCATTCCAAGTCAAGGGCAATATCTCAAAAACCGTTCATCGAAAATATGTCAAATTCGAACTTGACCGAGATCTTATCAATCTAAAGCATCACACCAAGTTTTATCAAAATCAGATAAAAACTGTAGTCTCTATAGTGCTCACAAGAAATGTTGACGGACGGACCGACGGAGAGAGGCAATGACAATATACAACCACATATTCATGTGGGCGCATAAAAAAAAAGATATGGACAAAAACTAAACTGATTCTGTACAGGTATTGATTTAAGTGTCTCTCTGAATATTTATAATTTTATGTGGCTTCCACAGCCTGTTCAGAATCAGTTTAGTTTTTGTCCATATCTATTTTAGCTCAGGCTGTAGAGTAGGACAGGGCTCTAATATCAAAACAGTACATACATACCAAGATCAGATTCAAAATTATAGTCTGTATTTTATGATAATGCTTGATAATATTCAAACATTTTAGCATGCTGCTTTTCAGTAAATTACTAAAATAATATATACTAGGATGGACAGAAGTTAGTAGATTGACAGAAGTTAGTAGATTGACAGAAGTTAGAAGATTGACAGAAGTTAGTAGAAAGAAGTATAGTTAATGATAACTATATTGTAAGAGTATTTTTCACTGCCTGAAAACACCACAATTTAGAGGTTTTTATTCATGACTAATTGTGTTTTTGTGCACCAGACAACTAGGTCCAAGAATTGTCTATTGACAGACATCTGTTCCTTTGTGTAATGTCTACTACATAGGATATAGACTGTTGGAAATAAACAAGAGTAAAATATTTGTACTAACCTGTTTGAGATATTTGAGCGACAATGTAAGCATCACCTGATTGTGTACCGTAGGAAGAGGTGGAGCTTACAGAATCTAAAGACATAGTGTCTGGAGATTGGTCCATAGGGTCATTTATATCATCTGACTGAAAATAAAAAAACACCTTTTAATTAAATTGCCACATACAAAAATCTAAGACAAATTTAAACAAGTGGTTGCCTAGCAAGATACGCTCACTTTCCTGATACATTTTCAGTATATCAAGGGCAGTCACCTATCTCTGTCAAAATCATACCAAAAATCTAATTTGTGCAAGATATTGGTGATTTAAACAAACACACATTATTTAATAAAATTCTGACATAAGCTGTCACCTCGATCACCAACAAATTTAATACTTTAGTCACTAATAAAAGGTGTGTTTTTACTTCTTTTATTATACAATAACATAGAGTGATAAACCATCTTTTAATTGGTATAAATGTTTAACGATTAGTTTGATTGTGCAACATTTCATGTGGGCTTATATTTAGCCTAGTTTAGGCCCTACACTCTGCACCTGTCCAGTCCTGTCTCATGTAGAATTTGTTAATTTGATCAAGACGATGTTTTTGAAAAGCTATTTATTGATTATTTCACAAATATAATCTCCATCTTTCTTCAAATTTTAAGAATAAGAAGCCCGTAAATTTCCAGCGATTGCAGACAAGATATTTCATGCTGAAATATCGTTAATTTTTAGTGATGAATCGTTATTTTTCCTGCAAAATCAACATAAGTCTACTTATTCTTGCCAATTTATCAGAATAAGAACCACTATTTCCAGCAATTTGAGACAAGACATTTTCTCGTGAAATATAGACCTAGTGTTTTTTTTTTAGTGATGATAATCGTTGTTTTATTTTAGGGTATTATAGAGTTACCTGAAATCTCGGCACAAAAAAGTTATTATAATTAATACGCTATTATTATGAAAAATACATAATTACAGTCCGTATTTTATCTAGGTGCCTACCCCGTTTTTTTTGCGGTCTATCAATATTAAACAGGCATATGATTTTAAACATCTTACAAGAAAAACTCTCCGGCTGACCGCAATCACATTTCTTTTACAATGGAAATTTTACTTCATTTATAGGGTCTTCATAACAATTAACTCGGGTTGAATAGTTAAGACTAAAGAATCTTCATAATTTTATTATTTTCCTGTTATCATTTTTAAAAAAAAAAGGAAATCCAGATGAATTTTAACAATATGTTACATTTCATTTTGTTATTTCAATTCGTTTAAAATATTTTCATATAGGCGTTTAGTTATTAGACTTGTAAAAACAAATCTCCATGCACTTACAAGAAAAACTCTCCAGCTGACCGTAATGTGCATTTAAATTAACATTGTGCTATATATATAGACACAGCTTTATGGAACAACCATCAGCTCTACTTCAGCATCTTAATGCTCAGCATAAGAGGATGAATTTCACCATGGAAGCAGAAGAAGATGACTCTATACCCTTTCTGGATGTGAGAATTAAGTGGTCAGTTGAAGACATGCGTGTATAGGAAACCTACACATACAGATCAGTATGTGAACTACCATTCCAACACCCCCCAACATGTCAAAAGGGCAGCCATCTCAGCACTGGTCAGAAGAGCAAAAAGGATTTGTGACCCAGAATACTTTCAACAAGAATTACAACACATCAAGAAAGTATTTTGCTTGCTCAACAACTACCCTCCAGCCTTTGTACATCAAGCTTTTGATCCGTATTAATGGCAAAACCAACCAAAAGCCTAATCTCAACAGACCATCAACCCGCTTAGCTATCCCATTCATCGGAAAGGTATCATACCAAATCAAGAAGATCCTGAAAAAGTCAGTCGGCATTGAAACAGTGTTCTCTGGCAACTCAACGCTTAAAGATTTGCTCAGAGCCAGTGGTAAATTGAATCCCTCCAACAACCAAAAACCTAATGGATGTGTCTACCAAGTTGACTGCTCCTGTGGAAGTTCTTATATGGGGGAAACAAAGAGATCCCTTGATGTTCGACTCAAAGACCATTAAGACAAGCCCGGCAATGAAGGAACATCTGCTGTGGCTGAACATCTTGCTATGGGAAGGAAAACAGGACATAAAGTCAACTTTGTCAACACCAACATACTGCCAATCAATAAGCACATAGATAAAACCAGGAGACTTCATGAAGCTATCCACATCAGAAGATATCAGCCTGACCTTAACAGAGATGAAGGTGTTCGTTTATCGCATGCAAATGATAAACTTATCAACTTGTAATTATTCATATTCATAATTGTATTTAATAAAAAAAAAATTTCCAACTTTAAGCATAGTTAGTTATATGAACAATGTAATTTCTATTAATAAAAGACTCCAATACCAGCAATAGTTGTTTATTTAATCTTCAATTAATCTTTTTTAATTCATTTACTTTATTTCAATTATTTTACTTAATAAGCCTGTATGTTATTTTAAGAATTATGTACCTCTTATTGTACCTGTTAAAATTTAATGTAATGTATCAATAAACTATTTATCTCTTGTGTGTTCTTAATGATAAGCATTAATGTATATATAGTTTGCCCATCACTTCTTCTCATTATGTGCCTGAGGACGACGGGGGAAACACGTCGAAATGTTGCATAAAACTTTAACAAGTGATTGTTGTTCCATAAAGCTGTGTCTATATATCATACTCACAATTGCTAAATGCCATTCAAAGACTTTATTGTGCTATATAGCGAAACGTCAAAGTAGACCTCTTATAAAATCGTGGCCGTTCTCCATAGCCAGCACAGTGACGTTACCATGTATCCAACTTTAAATTACGTCAGTGTGGGCTCTAGTTCTTATTATATAACTCTATCATTCAGATACTTCTACTAGAGGATAGGATGAGATGTGAATTACACATTTATAGATTAACAGAAAAAGTTACAAAATTTACTTACTGTACTACTTGAAACACAAACTTCTGCTGGCAAATATGAAAAAAAAATATCACAATTAAATAAGCAACAGAGAGAGATTGAGAAAGTTAACAAAAGGCTATTTTGGATGACTGTAAAACCAGAAAACCAGCAAATATAAATGTATCAGTGGATATTTAAGGTCAATAACCTCAATGGTCAAGGTCACAAGATATAAACATTCAAAATGAACAAAATAAATTTCAGATGATAAACAAAAAATGTTATAGATTTGTGTCAAATTGTTAGTAAAATCATAAATTGTGTGATTGGCTGTGCATTTTTGTTTAAAGTAAAACACTGATTTTTGTGACTACTTCTGTTTTTCTACATATTTTTTCACAATTTTAACGTGTTTTGCTATTTTTTAGAGTATTTATGTGGGCATAAAAATCTAACATCATAATAAGAGTGCCAAACATTAAGTTAGCAAAGAATGATACAACATACCTTCATCAATACTAAGAGCATAAACAACTTACCTTCATCAATACTAAGAGCATAAACAACTTACCTTCATCAATACTAAGAGCATTATAAACAACTTACCTTCATCAATACTAAGAGCATAAACAACTTACCTTCATCAATACTAAGAGCATTATAAACAACTTACCTTCATCAATACTAAGTTCATCATAAACAACTTACCTTCATCAATACTAAGAGCATTATAAACAACTTACCTTCATCAATACTAAGAGCATAAACAATTTACCTTCATCAATACTAAGAGCATAAACAACTTACCTTCATCAATACTAAGATCATCATAAACAACTTACCTTCATCAATACTAAGAGCATTATAAACAACTTACCTTCATCAATACTAAGAGCATAAACAACTTACCTTCATCAATACTAAGAGCATTATAAACAACTTACCTTCATCAATACTAAGAGCATTATAAACAACTTACCTTCATCAATACTAAGAGCATAAACAACTTACCTTCATCAATACTAAGAGCATTATAAACAACTTACCTTCATCAATACTAAGAGCATTATAAACAACTTACCTTCATCAATACTAAGAGCATAAACAACATACCTTCATCAATACTAAGAGCATAAACAACTTACCTTCATCAATACTAAGAGCATTATAAACAACATACCTTCATCAATACTAAGAGCATTATAAACAACTTACCTTCATCAATACTAAGAGCATAAACAACTTACCTTCATCAATACTAAGAGCATTATAAACAACTTACCTTCATCAATACTAAGAGCATTATAAACAACTTACCTTCATCAATACTAAGAGCATTATAAACAACTTACCTTCATCAATAATAAGAGCATAAACAACTTACCTTCATCAATACTTAGAGCATTATAAACAACTTACCTTCATCAATACTAAGAGCATTATAAACAACTTACCTTCATCAATACTAAGAGCATTATAAACAACTTACCTTCATCAATACTAAGAGCATTATAAACAACTTACCTTCATCAATACTAAGAGCATTATAAACAACTTACCTTCATCAATACTAAGAGCATTATAAACAACTTACCTTCATCAATACTAAGAGCATTATAAACAACTTACCTTCATCAATACTAAGAGCATAAAAAACTTACCTTCATCTATATTAACAGCATAAACAACTTACCTTCATCAATACTAAGAGCATTATAAACAACTTACCTTCATCAATATTAACAGCATAAACAACTTACCTTCATCAATATTAACAGCATAAACAACTTACCTTCATCAATATTAACAGCATAAACAACTTACCTTCATCAATATTAACAGCATTATAAATAACATACCTCCATCTATACTAAGAGCATCATTAATAACATACCTTCATCAATACTAAGAGCATTATAAACAACTTACCTTCATCAATACTAAGAGCATTATAAATAACTTACCTTCATCAATACTAAGAGCATAAACAACTTACCTTCATCAATACTAAGATCATCATAAACAACTTACCTTCATCAATACTAAGAGCATTATAAACAACTTACCTTCATCAATATTAACAGCATAAACAACATACCTTCATCAATACTAAGAGCATTATAAACAACTTACCTTCATCAATACTAAGAGCATTATAAACAACTTACCTTCATCTATACTAAGAGCATTATAAACAACTTACCTTCATCAATACTAAGAGCATTATAAACAACTTACCTTCATCAATATTAACAGCATAAACAACATACCTTCATCAATACTAAGAGCATTATAAACAACTTACCTTCATCAATACTAAGAGCATTATAAACAACTTACCTTCATCAATATTAACAGCATAAACAATTTACCTTCATCAATACTAAGATCATCATAAACAACTTACCTTCATCTATACTAAGAGCATCCCCATCCTCACTTATACTGTTAGTCAACATGCCTAGTTCAGCTAACAATTTCACATAGTAATTACTCTGTAGAAATTCTTCAAAATACTGTGTGTGCAACAACTGATATACCTACAATAAAATATAAACCTGTTAATTTAGCCTTGTACAGCATAAAATACCTCCAACATATTACACTTGATACTTGCACATATTAGACTTGTCCAGCATGATATACTCCTACATATTAGACTTGTACAGCATGAGATACTCCTACGTATAAGACTTGATATTCCCACATATTAGACTTGTACAGCATGAGATACTCCTACATATTAGACTTGATATTCCCACATATTAGACTTGTACAGCATGAGATACTTGCACATATTAGACTTGATACTTGCACATATTAGACTTGTACAGCATGAGATACTCCCACATATTAGACTTGTACAGAATGAGATACTTGCACATATTAGACTTGTACAGCAAAGAATACCTCCCACATATTAGACTTGTACAGCATGAGATAGTCCTAAATATTAGACTTGTACAGCATGAGATACTCCTAAATATTAGACATGTAAAGCATGAGATAGTCCCACACATTAGACTTGTACAGCATGAGATACTCCTACATATTAGACTTCTACAGCATGAGATACTCGTACATATTAGACTTGTACAGAATGAGATACTCGTACATATTAGACTTGTACAGCAAGAGATACTCGCACATATTAGACTTGTAAAGCATGAGATACTTGACATATAGACTTGTACAGCATGATATACTCCCACATATTAGACTTGTACAGCATGAGATACTCCTACATATTAGACTTGTACAGCATGAGATACTCGTACATATTAGACTTGTACAGCATAGAATACCTCCCACATATTAGAATTAATACTCGCACATATTAGACTTGTACAGCATGAGATACTCGTACATATTAGACTTGTACAGCATGAGATACTCGTACATATTGGACTTGTACAGCATAGAATACCTCCCACATATTAGAATTGATACTCGCACATATTAGACTTGTACGGCATGAGATACTCCCACATATTAGACTTGTGCAGCATGAGATACTCCCACATATTAGACTTGTACAGCATGAGATACTCCTACATATTAGACTTGTACAGCATGAGATACTCGTACATATTAGACTTGTACAGCATAGAATACCTCCCACATATTAGAATTGATACTCGCACATATTAGACTTGTACAGCATGAGATACTCCCACATATTAGACTTGTGCAGCATGATATACTCCCACACATTAGACTTGTACAGCATGAGATACTCGTACATATTAGACTTGTACAGCATAGAATACCTCCCACATATTAGAATTGATACTCGCACATATTAGACTTGTACAGCATGAGATACTCGTACATATTAGACTTGTACAGCATGAGATACTCGTACATATTGGACTTGTACAGCATAGAATACCTCCCACATATTAGAATTGATACTCGCACATATTAGACTTGTACGGCATGAGATACTCCCACATATTAGACTTGTGCAGCATGAGATACTCCCACATATTAGACTTGTACAGCATGAGATACTCCTACATATTAGACTTGTACAGCATGAGATACTCGTACATATTAGACTTGTACAGCATAGAATACCTCCCACATATTAGAATTGATACTCGCACATATTAGACTTGTACAGCATGAGATACTCCCACATATTAGACTTGTGCAGCATGATATACTCCCACATATTAGACTTGTACAGCATGAGATACTCGTACATATT